AAGAAATAAAAGATTGTTTGATTCGATCACCTTTTTGTTCCATTTCATGTGTGACCCACTATAAATCTTCTTGAGAATTCCCCTTTATAGGATTTAGTTTAAACCTGGCTCTGAAGCAAGACCATTTATAATTATAGGTTCAACTATTGAGTTTACCGAATTACATAATGTGTCTTCATCACAAAACTCACTTCATTTATTAATAAAGGATTGTTAGGAGTTGATCCATATAATCTAGGACGGATAAGAAATTGGTATGAATTTTGTGATGTAGAAAAAATTAACTATAAGGGTTGTATCATAAAAATCTCTATAAACCGTACACAAATATCACATGCTTGTCAAAATTTTGCAATTGGTGACCCAATTCTTTCACTCTTCTTTAACATAATTACATTTCCATCATGCTCAAGATGTTCCTCTGACCCTGTAATGTAGGCTATGTACGGATTGGCCTTACTTTTTCCATCCTTTTAAAGGCTTTCATCATCTTCTCAAAATTCAATTTGTTGGTACAAGTTACTCCACTAATTAGTAAGTTTTTTAACCCACCCCCTTTCTAATTTGCATAGACATGCCTACGCAAAAATGGTTTTCCGCCTACGATATTTGATCTCTAATTGCACAATTAGCTAATCTTTAGTAGATTGAAGACACAAAGTAAATTGCTCATAAAGAGACGAGGTGGATAATTATTGTCAACGACAAGCCATCATTTTAGTTGCAAACCATGATCCTAACAAACCCATAAAACAATTTGAATTAAACTAATTCTTATTATCAATCACTACCCACGATAGCTGGTACAAATGGTTATTGGAACCTCGACCAACATTTGCTAATAAACACATCCAAGCATTATCTTTAGAAAGGCACCATCGACACCAAACATGTTTCTACACACTACTAGGTAAATATTCCTCAAGGATGAAAATCTTAGATATAATCTCTTAGAGACATGTCCCGTTCTAGATCAGGGTCGGGGTTGTGTATAAAAGTACTTTATTTTTCTACCCTTCACATATCTATATGTACTTTTTAATCTTACCATAGTCTTCATTCAATCATCCAGTGTGCCTTTAAGGACCATATATATAGATATAACCTATCCTTGTAACATTATCTAAATGTAACTGTTTACTTTTCCAACGGATCAGTGAGCAGTTTAGTTGGTGGTCAAATCAGATTGGTTTTAAACTTGTGTAACCATTGCTTTTCCATCTAATGAGTTGTTGCTTGTCTATTTCTACATGACCCACAACATGGATGATTTTTGGACAATTATTTTTTAAATACAAAAGCTTTTTTCTCTCGGAGCCAACCCACATATCTTTTCCATTTGCAACCTCAAACGCATCTTGAGTCCATATTTGTGTAGCGTACCTAATTTCTTCTATTTTATTTTTCTTCCATTCAAGACCATTGTCTTTGAAATGATGTGCACTATACTTTCTAAGATTCATAAATCTTGATCAATCTTCACTTGGATATGAAATAGTAAATTAAAGTAACGAATTACTTAATTTAGATTTATATAGAGGTGAGATAAATAACACTAAACATGAATTTCTACACTCAAAGGAAATGATAGTGCTTTTTTCTGGCTAAATACGGAAGATTGGTCAATATTAATGAGGTCTAAGAAATAATATTTGCACAATGATTTTGTAAATTCACTAGCAAAGTGAATGTAGAACATTATAGACGATTGCTTCAATTATTAAAATCTAATTGTGAATGATGAATATATGTAGTACTATACAAATTGATTGAAAAGGGGAGACGAGCTCAACTATAGTAACAAAAACCAGTGTCATACAATATCATACATATGCTTTCTAACATCTCATTATATCATAATATAGCAATATGAAATGATTATCATTATGACAATTTATTAGGAAAACATTCAATCAAAAAAATCACTAGTAATGTGAGGTGGCCCCCAAAAACATGCATAAGGGACGCGTCACATAATGAGCGTGTGCTTTTGATATTGTTTTGTATAACTCTTCGTGTATCCTTTTCAATTGAACACTTGTGTTCGAACTTAATACTATTATTTATACTTAGTTAAATTTCTAAATTATACTCCCTCTGTAACATAAAAATGTTCACATTTCAAAAGCATGTAGATTAAGAATAGTGAAATATGATATAAATTATTGAGGGTATGATGAATTATTGAGGGTATGATGGGAAGATAGTGGAATAGTGTGATGAAATGAAGGATAAATAAAAAAAAAGTAGTTGTAATTAGAGTTGTAAACGAATCAAATCGAATAGTGAGTAAAATTATTCGTATTCGTATAAATTGACGAATATTCGTATTCGGATATTATTCGAATACTTAAAAATACTTTTGAGCATTTAATTTTAAAAAAGTTACAAAAGGTGTTTAAAAAAGTTAATTAAGTAGTTTAAAATTAAAATCTAAAAGGGGTGGAGAGTATACATGAAAGGTGATTAAATTGGTTTTGATTTTTCTGTTACATAAAAGAATATATTTTCGGACCACTCTATCATATAGTTTTTCAAAATCATTATTCCTTTCAAGCAATACAAACTCTTTTTACTCCATATTTTACTTCTTCAAAATAAGGGTAAATGGTCAAATAGGCCGGATAGAGCCTCCTATATAAGGAGTTAATTGCACTTTTTAAGTTAGTTCGAGGGCCTATTAGACCCTTTAGCCTTAAAATAATCTTTAAAGTTAACCACTTCATGAGAAGTAATTACACTATCCATCAGAGCTATCAAAAGAACACGCGTCCACCATGCATGTTTCCAGCATCAACTCTGTTTCCTTTGAAGGTGACTCTGTAATTCACTTATAAAAAAAATCAATTGAAGAAATCACGAGAAATGTGAGGTGGGCCCCGAGAATACACAGTACAGAAGCGTTGCAATGTTGCATGACGGACGCGTGTGCTTTGATTCCGTTTTTTGTAGCGCTTAATAAACACATCCGTTTCAACCATGACAAACGCGTGTGCTTTGTTGCATTATTTTTTGTAGAAAATAATGACAAATATATATCTAAATAAGAGTGAATAAAATATGTCTTTTTATACTTTAGTAACTATAACTTTAATAATCATGATGGTGTTAACTATAATGCATATGCATAGACAATAATTCAATATCCAAATTCAAATATATTTAGAGAGATAGTTTTGATGTGTGCGTATATAATATAATGAGTTATAAATGTATTATTTTAATATTTTATTATCAATTTGTCACTTAAGAGGGTTAATTGTTCTCTAAAATAGAAAGTGAAAACATTTAGTTTAAATGTCTAAATTAGGATGTCCTTTAAATTTTTAGGCCCCAATCCTCCCCCAATTTGTAAAATAGTTATATATTTTTATATGTTAAGAATATTGTGTAAAAGATCATCCGGAAAAAACTAACCAAGCCACGTTAATATTTCTTTCTGGCTATGTCATTCCTATTTGTTTCTTATTATAGTTTTGTATTTTTTTACTAAAAAATATATTGAAGTTATATTCTCTCTACTCCGCTAAAATTGTCTCATCTTTCGTTTTCAGCCTATGCATTAAGAATGTCACATATCAAATTTGACAAAATCTGTGTGGTTCTAAATCATATTTACTTTATCACTTCAATATCAACCACATAAACTAGCTTTTCTTAATAATTGTAAAACATTATCATAACCTAGCGTTAGTGAGACGTGAGTACGTTGTATCTCATAATTAAATACGAAGTATTATTTGGTTGTCTAGGGCCTCAAAATTGCTCTAGATGGCCCTGTTTCCAGCATCAACTCTGTTTCCTTTGAAGGTAGGGCTGGGACTTTGGAACCAAGAACCGGAGAACCGAACCGGACCGGACCGAACCGTTATGACCCGGTTCGGTTCGGTTCCAACATTTATTAGTTATTTGTTAACGGTTCGGTTCCTATTTTTTATTAACAGTTCGGTTCTCGGTTCTTGAAAAAAACATGTACCCGGAACCGTTAAGGAACCGTTATATATGATAATTAAAATTAAATATATATTTCTTATTAGCATATATATTTTAGTGTATATTTACTTATTTATTTTCATACTACATTCACTACTTTACTTTAGTTATTTAACTACTTGAATTATTTTTCATTCAACTGCTTTAATTCGGCTTCTTTAACGAATATCTTGTTTTGTTTTGTTTTCAAAAATTTGTAGTTTGTTATGTATTTATGTTCTAAACTCAACTTTTGAGGTTTAAAATGATGTTCATCATATTTGTATTGTAATTTCAACCGTGATTGTCTTTTTGACACAAATTTAACCGTGATTTGTAAGAATTTTTTTTAAAGACTAGGAACCGTTAAATAACAAGAACCGAACCGTTAAGAACGGTTCGGTTCCTTATCGGTTCTATAAAATAATTTAGAAGAACCGAACCGTTAGTAAAATTTCATATTTTCAAACGGTTCCACATATTTTGCCTAGGAACCGAACCGGTCCCAGGCCTATTTGAAGGTGACTCTCTAATTCACTTATAAAAAAATCATTTAAAGAAATCACGAGAAATGTGAGGTGGGCCCCGAGAATACGCATTACAGAAGCGTTGCAATGTTGCATGACGGACGCGTGTGATTTGATGCCGTTTTTTGTAGCGCTTAATAAACACATCCGTTTCAACCGAAGAGTCGTGTTAATAAAAGAGAAGGAAAGAAAACATTGTAAAAAGAGTAAAATATTGGAAATTTATTTAGATATGAGTTACATTGTTTTGTTTTCATAACAACACTTCTATTTAGAGAAGTTTTTATTCTTTTAATATGACTCATTCTATTGTCTTTTTAGCTTTCTCATCTTATTTACCTTTTTATCTTATCATTTTTATCTTTTTATCATATCTTCTTTATTTATCTTATCTTTATGTTTTATCCTATCATAATTTCTCTTTTTTTATCTTATATGTTCTTTTATCTTTTTTATCTTTATAAAATTCCGATTTCACAAATCGATTTATATTAGTTGATCCAGAACTCTTTCGAGACTAAAACTCCAATGTTGTTGTTGATTATTTTAACCAAACAAGTCCTACTTTATGAAGAAATTTTAATTGGTCATATTTTAGACATTTGTCTAACTTCTAATCTTATTTTGAGCAATTTGTAAAGAATACTCCTAGTTATACTTAATTATGAATTCCCCCCAAAACGTAGTAATTCATTTATTTATATAAAAAACATATCACTCTTACTTTTTAAAAATTACTCACTCCACCCCTAATGAAACTTCCACTTTTTTGATAAAGAATTTGTTGTGAACAATAATGTTTACACATTTATCTCTGTAGAAGTTAATTTAGGGAATCAGTACTACCCCACCATGAGAATGCTCTTTAACATCAGTCTTTCAATTGAAACAAATATACAAAGATCTATATAATGCAATGTCCATAATCGAAAAATGGCAAATATGTTAACTCAATGGTTAATGAATGCAATAATAATATAATTATTTTTCATTTTCATAATATAATTTTTCAAAGGTCATTATTTTATTCCCCAAAAAATATACTTTTTGAGAATTTTTTATCAACTCATTCTTTTAATTAATAGGATTAAATAAATTCTGTTTGGGAAATAAAACAGAATTTAAATTAGTGTGTTTTAATCGTGAGCAATTTCAGAAAAAAATCAAAAGCACACGCGGCCGTCATGCGTATTCCCGGCGGGTCCCACCCCATCTTTCTTATAACCAGCAAACGTACGAAGGAATCGAAGCGCTTAAAGCTTCCCCGCCGGCGCAACTGTTTGCTTTCTTCCCCATTTCCCCAACGCTCACCATTTTCACGACACCCCATTCCACCTTTTCCGCCATTCCTTCATCCCCCTTCTGTCTTCACCGCCAAACCCGCTTCTAAATTTAGCTTTCCCCACCGAAAATGGCCCTTTCCGCCGCCCACTGGTGACGACACCACTATATCACGACCTTTCCAACGCTTCCCTGCCGCAGTTTTTTCGTCCATAAAATGCGTTTTCCATTCGCTTATTCCGATCACAGAGGCATGGCTTCCTATAATTCCAAAAACAAGAGTGGCAGAGATTCCGTCCCCGACGCCCTTGTCTTCTTCGCCGGAGTTCTGATGGCCTTGGTACTCGTTTGGGCTCTCTGGTGTTTATTCACAACCCCCACCGCCGACTCTGTTTCCTTCTCCGGCGACTCTGTTCCGGCCAGAAGGTATGCTGTTGCCGGCGTTTCCGCCGGCTGTAACGGGACCGTGGGTTTCGACCGGCTCCACGACCCGGCCGGCCGGAATTTCTACGATGACCCCGATTTGAGCTACACCATCGACAAGCCGGTGAGGAACTGGGACGAGAAGAGGAGGCGGTGGCTCGAGCAGCATCCATCGTTTATTCCCGGATTCGAGACCCGGATTCTCATGGTCACCGGGTCTCAGGCGAAGCCGTGCCGGAACCAGGTCGGCGACCATCTCCTTCTCCGGCTGTTCAAGAACAAGGTGGATTACTGCAGAATCCACGGGTACGAGATCTTCTACAACAACGTCCTGTTCCAGCCGGAGATGTTCTCGTTCTGGGCGAAGGTTCCGACGGTGAGGGCCGTGATGCTGGCCCACCCGGAAGCAGAGTGGATCTGGTGGGTCGACTCCGACGCCGCCATAACCGACATGGATTTCAAGCTCCCATTGGACCGGTACAAGGACCACAACCTGGTAGTCCACGGGTGGGTCAACCTGATCTTCGAGAAGAAGAGCTGGACCAGCGTCAACGCCGGCGTCTTCCTGATCCGGAACTGCCAATGGTCAATGGACTTCATGGACGCGTGGGCGAAGATGGGGCCGCAGTCGCCGGAGTACGACCGGTGGGGGGAAATCCAGAGGAGCACATTCAAGGACAAATCGTTGCCGGAATCCGATGACCAGTCCGGCCTGATTTACTTAATCCTGAAAGAATCCGAAAAATGGGGGAACAAAATCTACGTGGAAAGTCAATATTACTTCGAAGGGTACTGGCTGGAAATCGTGGAAACGCTTCAGAACATCTCCGACCGGTACCTGGGGATCGAGAAACAGGCGGGGAAACTCCGGCGGCGGCACGCCGAGAAGGTGAGCGAGAGCTACGCTACAGTGTGGGAGGAGTACCTTAAGGACTCCGGGTACGGGAAGTTTAGCTGGCGGAGGCCGTTCATCACGCACTTCACCGGCTGCCAGCCGTGCAGTGGGGACCACAACCAGGCGTATTCCGGCCAGGTTTGCGGCGAGGCGATGCACAAGGCGCTGAATTTCGCGGATAATCAGTTGCTGCGCAGGTACGGGTTCGTGCACCGGGATCTACAGGATACCTCCACCGTGGTGCCTATACCTTTCGATTATCCGGCTTAGATTGCAAAAAATACTTCGTATGACTAATGTGAAGTATTTATGTTTATGCGTATGATTGGATAATTATTATGATGAAGGGGTCCAGTATCCATATCCATGTTTGGAATTATAATGCTTTGTATTGGTTATTCTAGTCCATTGGTTCATTGGTTTCGTTTAGAGCATCTCCAATGCTATAATGTCCACGGTGCACATGTGGCATGAGTGATAGCCACATAAATATTAACAATTAAATTATTTTTCTCCTTATTTGAATGATTTTATACAATTTTGGTAAGTTTTTCTCTGCAATGTCAACATTAATGTCAACATTAGACGGTCTCCTTGACATTGTGGAGAAAAATTTACCAAAACTGTATAAAATCATTCAAATAAGGAGAGAAAGAATTTATCTGCTAATATTTATGTGACTATTTTTCATGCCACGTGTGCACCGTGCACATTTTACCATTGAAGATGCTTGCACAAACTCGTATAGACTGTTTTCCCTTATTTGTGATGCGAGTAAAGTGTAGTTGCGGAGTTAGAAATAGAGTGCGTTTGGGTAAGGACTTAGGTCCAATTAATAACTTTACCATTTGTCCAGGTTTGCTATTAGGAAGAAAAAGATAAAAACGTAATAATGTTTCTTGCTTTGTTCATGAACCGAACAACCCCATCCAAAATACAAGAAGATGCCAAATCCCTTTCTTTTGGTCATCCGTAATACGAAGTATATATTAGGCTAAGGAATAACTACTATAATTAAAATAATATCCTAGCCATAAATAATACTCCCTCCGTCCCAATTTGTTTTGCAAAGTCAACAATTTTTGGTCAACCAATAATAAAAGTCAACCCTCCGTATGGATAATTAATTCAGTTTTTAATAATTAAAATTTACATATTCAAAAACTACATTAAAATCTTTTCAAAGTTGTAAACTCCAAATTAGAATATAATTAAAAATTGACATCCTAATTAAGTGAACAAAACGAGACTGTTTGACTAAGAAAAGTCAAATTTGCAACTCTTTTTGGGACGGAAGTAGTAAAAAAACAATCTTAAACAATATTTCTCAAAAATATCTCCCAATACCCCCCCTCAAGTTGGCGCATGAGGATTTAAAATGCCCAACTTGCGTAGGAGAGTCTTAAACTGAGCTTTGGCAAGTGCTTTAGTAAAGATATCAGCAAGTTGAATGGTAGTAGGAACATAGTTGGGAGCAATTATATTGGCCTGAATAGCGTTACGAACAAAACGACAGTCAACCTCGATGTGTTTAGTCCGTTCATGAAAGACAGGATTGTGAGCAATATGAAGGGCAGATTGACTATCACAGTACAACGGAATAGCCTGAGGATGCTGAACTCCAAGACTTAAAAGAAGTGCCTTTAACCATTTTAATTCACAAGTTGCCGCCGCCATGGAGCGGTATTCAGCTTCAGCGGAAGAACGAGCAACAGTTGATTGTTTCTTAGCTTTCCAGGAAATAGGTGAATGACCAAGAAAAACCAACCAGCCAGAGAGTGATCTACGTGTAATGGGGAAAGCAGCCCAATCAGAATCACACCAGCCAATAAGAGAAAGGTCACTATCAGCACGAAGAAGAATCCCTTGGCCAGGGGACCCTTTAAGATACCCGACAACACGCATGGCAGCGGACCAATGCTCGCTGAGAGGTTTTTGTATAAATTGTGAGAGAATGTGCACAGAGTATGTGATGTCCGGGCGAGTGACAGCCAAATAAATTAGGCGACCAACAAGGCGGCAATATGGTTCAGGGTCCTGAAGAGGTGGTCCAGTAGCCGTCCTAAGGGTGTGATGTTGTTCAATCGGAAAAGAGGCGGGTTTCGCCCCCAAAAGACCAGTTTCGGTAATAATATCCAGGGCATATTATCTTTGGTTAAGAAAAATACCAGTAGAGCTGCGTGCCACTTCAATACCCAAAAAATATTTAAGAGGGCCCAAATCCTTCATATGAAAACATGCATTAAGGTATGATTTAAAACCACCAATAGCAGCACTATCATTGCCAGAAATAAGTAGATCATCCACATAAACAAGGACATTAAGCTGAACGGCACCACGAGTAAGAGTAAATAAAGAATAGTCAGCATATGACTGAAGAAAGCCAAAATTCTTAAGAGCAGTGACCAATTTTGCGAACCAGCACCGCGGAGCCTGCTTAAGTCCATATAAGGATTTATGAAATCTACAGACCAAAGTGGTGTCACGTGTTTTATAGCCCGGAGGAATAGTCATGTAGACTTCCTCATGCAAATCTCCGTGAAGAAAAGCATTGTGTACATCCATTTGATGTAACTCCCAATGCTTACAAGCTGCTATGGCAAGAAAAGCGCGCACAGTCACCATTTTAGCAACCGGGGCAAAAGTTTCTGTATAATCGAGACCGGCAACCTGCCGATTCCCAAATATAACAAGACGGGCTTTCAGGCGTTCAACAGTACCATCAGATTTGTGCTTCACTTTATAAACCCAGCGACAACGTACCCAAGGCACGTTTTCCAGGAGGTAAAGGAACAAGACTCCAAGTGGAGTTATTTTCAAGTGCCTGTATCTCGGCCCTCATAGCATCGCGCCATCCATCATGTTTAACAGCATCATGAAAAGATTGGGGCTCTGTAACAGAATTAAGAGCTGCCAAGTAAGCCTTATGTTTTGTAGAAAAAGAGTCACAAGTAACATAATGAGTTATAGGAAACGGCGTACCTGAAGAGGATGACGAAGCGGGAAGAGCGGGGAATGCGCTGTCCGCGGCCGAGTGGAGCTGGCTGCTCCTGCTGGGAAACAAGAGGTATGTCCTCTGCCATAATTAAGGATGATGATGTCCCATCAAGTGAAGACTCATCAAGTGGCTGCCCATTTGCTTGTGACGTGAATTCCTTATGTACTAGTGGCTGCACCCCTTCATTCAAATCACCAGAATATCCAAGAGAAAAGGAATCATCATAATCATTAGGCAAAAAAATAGGTGGCGAGTGAGGAGTATCTGGAGGAGAGGAACCCGATGCAAATGGAAATATCTGCTCAAAAAATTTTACATCACGGGACACAAAATATTCTTGAGTCTCTAGATAAAAAAACATTCCACCCTTTCTTGCCAAAGACATATCCCACAAATACACATTTTCGGCTCCGACTAAGAAATTTGTCACCCTTGGACTTCATATTGAAAGCATAGCATAAACATCCAAATACTCGTAGAGGTTTATAACATGGGGGAACACCTAACAATATTTCATAAGGTGTTTTGTAATCATGAATCGCAGACGGTGTGCGATTAATAAGATAAGAAGCAGTCAATACACATTCTCCCCAAAAAGAAATAGGTAAGTTCCCCTGAAATCTCAACGCACGTGCCACATTTAATATATGTCTATGCTTACGCTCAACACGCCCATTCTGCTGGGGTGTACCAACACAAGAGGTCTGGAATATGATACCACTAGTGCGGAAAAAATCTTTCAAACAATTAAACTCAGTCCCATTGTCACTTCGCACACACATTATTTTCTTAGAGAATTGACGTTCAACCATAGCAACAAAAGAGAGAAACATTTTGAAAACCTCCTTTTTATCAAGAAGCAGATAAACCCAAACAGCACGGGAATAATCATCAACAATTGTCAAAAATTGTCTAGCACCACAAGAAGAAGGAGTTTTATATGGATCCCATAAATCATAGTGTATAATTTCAAAGGCATCATGAGTTTTATTCAAACTAGTAGGAAAAGGATCCCTAGTCTGCTTAGCCCTAAAACAAATATCACACGGAAAATTTCCAAAATTCTTCAATCCACTTACGGGAGCCAAATTTTTAACTACTTGAGAAGATGGGTGCCCCAACCTTTGATGCCACAATTATGCTACAACATTCTTTGACTCTTTGATTGTCAACACATGTGCTGTTGGTTCCTCCCGTAGGTAGTACAGTCCATTCCGCCGTTCACCTGTTCCAATCAGCCTCCTCGAGGGACGGTCCTTTATAACACATAAATTACAAGTGAATTGAACGAAACAATCAAGTTTATCACTCAGTTGAGATACAGATACAAGATTACAATGTAACTTTGGGACAAAAAGCACATTATTCAAATATAAATCATTTGCAAATCGCACACTTCCTTCCTTTGTAGCCAAAACATTCTGTCCATTTGGCAGACCAACAGAACATGGTTCAACGGTTTTAATATCACACAATAAGGAACGATTTCCACAAACATGATTTGTGGCACCGGTGTCAATAATCCAGGCATTATTATTAAACTTACCGGCCATGTGACCATTAGTAGAGAGAGAGTTACCAAATATGGAGAACAAAGATTTCCATCGTTCGGGTGTAAACCCCGGCAGAGGAGTAGATTCTTCCTCTTCCGTTGACATCCCTGCCGATGTTTAATCGGAAAAATATTCTGTGACCAATCAACCGAAGAGCTGCTCTGATACCATAATAGCTTTACGATTTGTGCAGGTTTGCTATTAGGAAGAAAAAGATAAAAACGTAATAATGTTTCTTGCTTTGTTCATGAACCGAACAACCCCATCCAAAATACAAGAAGATGCCAAATCCCTTTCTTTTAGTCATCCGTAATACGAAGTATATATTAGGCTAAGGAATAACTACCATAATTAAAATAATATCCTAGCCATAAATAATAAAAAACAATCTTAAACAATATTTCTCAAAAATATCTCCCAATACCAATCCCTCCTTTTGCTTCATTTTGCAGCATTTATGCCCGAACCCACCAAAAAGTCTTTCAAAAAGATTAAGAGTGTGTTTGAGACGATTAATTGAAAAGATATTTTTACAGTTTGTTTTAGTAACTGTTCACTTTTAGTGACTGGAAAACATCTTTAAAATAAAAGGTGGTAGCTGTTTAGTAAAAAACTGATTGTTTGACTTAGTTCTGTTTGATATACAAGCTGTTGGTGCTAATTTATGATAAAAGCACATACTTTTCTCAGATGCTACTCCCTATAGCATCTCAAAAAGATCTTTTACATTCTGAAAAAAACTTTTAAAAATTGTCATGTCTATTGAATAATAATCAAGAAACAGAACATAATAACGTTCATTATTAATAGAAGTAACAGGAGACGGGCCCCATACATCCGTATACAAATACTGAAATGGACGGGTACACTTTATTGAGGAAGATGAAAAAGGTAATTTATGCATTTTAGCTTGAATACATGAATCACACGAGGCTAAAGATTTATGCTGAGGAAATAATTGTTGTTGAATGTGAGTGGACGGATGACCAAGACGGTGATGCCATAACTGAGATGTAGTGAGGCAGGCACGAGGAGAAGGTGGACTCGGCCGAACATAGAGATTGTTGTTACTCCGGCCTCGGACCAAGGATGCCCCCGTGACTAGATCCTTGACAACAAAAGATTCGGGTAAGAATTCAGTAGAGGTACGATTTTGTTTACAGAATTGATTAACAGAAATGAGATTGGTATTAATATGAGGGGCACACAAAATGTTATTCAATTTAAAATGAGAATTGGGAGAAGAAAGAACCGAGGATCCAGTATGAGATATAGAAATACTTTTACCATTACCAAGCATCACAGAGTCAGGCCCATTGTA